GTGTGTGTGTGTGTGTGTGTGTGTGTGTGTGTGTGTGTGTGTGTGTGTTATATAAGATACTAATCGCTCTCAGCTGGACCCGCTTGGGAAAGGGGGCCCTCTCCAGAGACTCTGAAGATTTGGAAACACAGATTAGGCAGAAACATAAATATGAGCTAAATGTTGTAACCATGACAACAGCAGCAATGATCAAACGAAGATAAAGACAACTCCGGTCCGTAAACACACAACACTTCAGATACCTCCTGCTGTTTGTCATTTTTTATTCATCACAATGAAGTTTGATTAATTCAAAGATTACAACTCGTCCACCACAGAATCATAAAAACTTAAACTCCTGTTATAAATGCTTATATTGCTTATTTTGTAAAACTTTTACCTAACCTGAACAATGTGTTCTCATTTACAAAACCCTAATTATTTAATTTTTTACTGTTTTCTTTTATTTTTGTCTGTCTGAGCTGTAAATAACTGAGTGAAAGGTGGAATTATTCCGTTTCAGTGCCTGAGGCTTTGCAGCCAAAATGAAAGTGTTGTAACTCCACGTGTCTTCAGTTTTGTGAACTCAGCACTAAATGTGACGGGGAAAGGTTTTGAAACGTTGCTGTAAATAAGGTTGCCGAACGGTGTGAAATTCCTCATTTGGAGCCAGTGGTAAATTTAGTTTTGGAGCCAGGAAAAGGGAAGCGTTATTTTAAATCCATTGTGCCCTCTTCCTGCAGAGGTCGAAGGTCAAAGGAGGAAACATGTGGAAACACGGGGAGACACAGGAAAAAGCAGTTATCTTTATTGCTTCAAAGTCACGAGCTCAAGCTGATAGTTCATTTAAGAAAATCTAACATATCTACAGTTATACTGTATTTGGTTGCAACCAGACTTTCTTGGTCAAAACTCAAACAATTAGTTATTTGCTGATGGTGCAACCGGATTTAATAAATTTCTGGAAAAAAACAGAGTTAGAAGTTGCAGAAGCTTAAAAAGAACTGAGGTAAAACAGTTATGGCACCGATGTTTCTTTCAATTTGAAGGTGCAGGAAAAATAATAATAAAAAAAGCTTGCGTGAAAATATTTTCATCCAGGCTGCCTTGCTGCTTTTATCTGCCCAGGAGTTCCAAAACAAGCGATTATCAAACAGGTTGGGGACAGAGAATAAACACACACTTCCACTGCCATCTTTTACCAGCATTTCCTGTCCAGCTACTTCCTCTTCCTGTCTGTGTTTGGAGAAACAGGAGTGCTTCGTGGTCGCTTAATGGAAGCCGACTTTGATCATAAACACACAAGCAGAACCAAAGATCCAGTCCTGCAGAGTCCTGTTGGTTTTCTTCAGTCATGTGGATTAGCGGGTTGAAAAGAGATTATTTGTGCTTCTTAAACTGGTGGAAACTCACTTCCTCACACAAACCAGAGCAGAAACACCAAAAACGTTTATTTTCACCAAAACATGAAGACCTGATTTCTACAAGCTGAGAATCTGAGCAGGCTGGTGTGAAACTAAAACCTCTACATGCTCTTCTTCACACGCCTTATTAATTATGACGTGTCTTTCACACTCTACCTACACACCAACACTGTACAAACTCACACACACACACACACACACACACACACACACACACAC